CAATTGATAATGATGCTATAAAAATTAGCTTAATAATTACCATCCAAATCAATAAAGCAATGCCTATAAAAAGACAATTGTAAAAACATTTTGTTTCTGTTCTTTAAAAAATACGTATTATTTAAGAAAATCAAATCTATTTGATGAATGTAAAGTTAGAAATTAATATAACTCATTGTTCGGTCGATAACAGCCTTTTACTGGGTTTTCCTTAAAAGTTACTACATTTCAAATTATTTTTTCTAGTAACACACAAAATCCTACCTACTAACAAATTTTGTTTCGATTTCTACCTTAAAAGCTAAAGAAAAAACAACGAAGCTAAAATACTTAGATGTCACCCAACTGTAATGTAATAATGTTGCCAGACGCAAAATTTAACAAAGAGAAAAATTGTATTATGAACTTTCAGTACACATTCTTTTGAGACATTTCAGTGTCACTATTATTTACTTTATTCAGCATGTTTTTTTTCTTGATGTTATTTTTTTTTGTGTCTATTCTTACATTAAAACGTGTGTCATACCTACTAAAAGGGTAACGTAATAAATTCTTTCAAATAAGAACTTTTGATTTATTGTAAATTCTTTTTAGTGTACACATAAAATAATGTCCACTATTACACCTATTTTAAATGAAATTAACATCAGTTACTTTTGCAAAATCATCTTTTGTCGTCTTATTAATGAAAACAAAGTACTTACTATAAAGTTTTTAAATTTTGAGAGAGAAGACAATAACCATAAATATATTAATCTTTATTATAATTAAAAAATCTACTTTCAATGAGTTTATTTGTTGAATAGGCATCGCTTGAACGTCTTGGGTCCTTTGAACACAATCATATTATCAAACGTATTGAAAGTAAACTTATGTAATTCGCCATTATTATATTTTAAAGGTTTTAGCGCGCAGGAGCTTAACAATAACATTAATGTTGTTGTATACCATATTGTATTTTTCGTACAATTAATTAATTTTTTGTCTTTACAAAGGCACGTTTTTAAACACAAAAAAAAAAACTAAATAGTAAACACGTCAGTCGTTATAAAATTAACACAATATGCTTATAATATTAACTTATGACTAAGTATTCGCGAGCGTAGCATAGTGTACAAAGCAAATAGCTGAACAATTTGACCTTAAATAAGTTCAAACAACTCGTTACCTTAATATTGAACTATATTATTGCGCCAACAGGCCATTTTGTATTTAAATGGATACAGCGCTGTACTTGTTTGGATAAACTCGGTAGGTAAAACAGTTTCTCAGAATAGACGTAGGGAATTTTGAAGGTCGCTATCCTCAACCCTGACTTCACCATAATGCATGTTTGATTGATCATTTTAATTGCATCATTAATTTTGTCCGTGGACCTACCTTAATTATTATATTACTATGACCATATTATTATGATATCAGTTCACATGTGTTAACATTGATTGATCCAATAACGTTCGTTAATTCATGTTGTATTCCCGTTATGAAGACAAAGATACTTTTTGTGGTGTATTGCTGATGCAAAACCGGATACACTTGCGTTTTATATACTTGAAAAAATTTCCCCTCAAACGATGTTGTTGTGAAGAGATGTACCTATTTTGAGTTGAAGAATATTTCAATTTATCGGTGTTCTAAACTTGGATCGGTTTTCATACACAGTTACTATGTTTTTCGTTATTGCACATCAGTTTCATACTCAAATACTGTTTTCAAATTCGTACTAATTTGTTTTTAACAAAAAAAAAAACAGGCAATTTCACACTTTAATTTTGTTTTGTTATATATTTTCGTCTCCACGATGGGCGTTAAATGTATTTTAATCTTTATTTATAATTTTCAATTTTATAGTAAATGTTTTTTTTTTTTTTTTTGTGATTCTCGATGAAATTAAACGAATTGAACTGTTAATAGGTTTTTATCGAACACAATACTACTCCATTGCCCAGCAGTCCTTCGGTACATGGCATAATATATTTTAGTATTGGTAACGCGATAATGACAAAAAAAACTTCTATTTATTGGAAAAATAATATTTTTAAAAATTCGATAGTAAGAATTTATTCAGCGGTGTATAATAAATTTAATGAAAACAATTTTTTTTTTCATTGTTAACATACATTATAAATGTAATTTTGACAACTGTTGTATTGTACATTTTTATTTTAACTAATTGTTTAATATTTAAGCTTAACAGCTGTTAATACTACACTGTTTTAGATTTTTAATCCAAATTTAAGTTTTTAAACGAATAATAAATGATGTTTTATTGGACAACTTTACTTCCAAGCGGTACATAAACTAAAAATATCATTTTATTATTTAGTTACGGTGTAGACAATTTAGAACTAGGGCATAATTAATACCAAATTAATAGCTCGTGGCTAAAAAATGTAAGTAACTTTAAAACACGTTTAAAATGTCCATATAAGAGGGATGTAAAAATAGTTTTGAACCGTTTAGAACGTCCAAGTAAATGTCGAAATGATTGAATATTTTTTAAACTTCTACCTATAGCGGGTACTTTCTCATCCACTGATATCCGTATTACCTTGTACATTTCTTTGCACGTACACGTATCAATAAGCTGGTCAAATTGCGTAACAGTTGCACCAAACACTGTAAGGTTCCACTAACTGCATCCATTTTAATAATAGCCAGAGAAGCTATGTTATCCTTGTGACGGAAGAAGGTAACAAGTATTCGAAATTAGTTTCCAAACGTTGTTATTAAATGGAAATTCTAGTACAATGTGATGGTGATTTTAATTTATAGCCAAGGTGTAACCGTGTACGGCGATAATTAATTTGGGGCCCCCGTGACAGTGAGAGGAGATGATTAAAGGATCAAGTAACGACTAACATGATTATTATTTACCGCTACAGCAGTTGTTTGCAATTATTATTTCGCGTCTTAAGCACTCTTGGTCAACGAGGTTATGACAATACTATATCAATCAAAATTAAGACACGACAATGATAGTATGATTAAGTAAGCGCACATTAACTTGATTAACTTGTCCCCTCAGGCCTCAGATCACAAAGTACTACGAATAGGTAAGGTATCTAGAAGAGGCACTTGTTGTATAGCAAAAACACTTCAATTAAATTAATTATTGATCCGGTGTAATGTTCATAACTTGAATTCTAATAAACAAACAAAAGTAAGTTATAAAATAAAATTTAGTACGCTAACAAATTATTGTGTTACTAAAATTATTTCATCACGCTTTAATCCAAAATTTCCTTTTTGAATTGCTTACATTATTATCTAAAAGGCTCTTTGTTGGTATACAATTTAAAAACATTTTTTAAGTACAGGTAAAACCCAATAGACAATGGCATACTGGTTTTTTTTTTACAATGATTCATCCTATTTCAAATGAATCTCATAAAAATCAAATAATTTATTTTAATAACCTTGTATTGTTGTGCGTTCAAATCGCTTTAACATCATGTCTGCAATATACAAGTACAAACACATTCAGATCCTAATCTAATTATTATTAAATTAAAACACATATTTTAATTGAATCGATTAATGCAAAACGGGCCTTAGACCACATAACTTTAAACTTTCAGAAAAACAAAAAACCCGGTTTTGTATGTTATAAGGATATATTCTAATTCAATACTTACATGATATTTTTTTTATCAGTTGTAGTACGTGACTAAGGGCACATACATCCTTTCTGTGAGAAGGACAACAAGAAAATATAATAAGTTCATTTTCACTAAGTTTTCCATAGACCAATTGAATGTCTTTCATCTTTTGTTATTTAGGTATAAAAATGTACATTACACTTTTGTCTACATTTAAATCGTATAAAGATTTAAATAACAATAAAAACATGTAAAGTTAAATTTAAAGACAAATGGCGTTAGTATCAATCAGTGTCGAATTGCTCAAATGTGTTATGCGTTGTAATAAGAATTTAGAAATTATAAGTACTCGCATTTAAGTTTGAAGGGATAATGATATACATTCGATTTTTATTTGTTTTTTAATAGATTTTTGTTAAATAAATATGTAAAAAATCGTCCATTCACTTATATTTTGCAGACAACTTTACATTCATAATGCACTATATGGATTGATAAACTATATTATTATTATTATTATTAGTTATTGCCTAATTTAAAATTTCATATTTTAATTTGAAATAGCTACATTTTTAAGCCAATAATTTCTTATCGGTTTATAAAGCATTTACTCTACGAAATTCAGCTTTAAAATGGCTTGAAGGTAAAATTAAATCTTTTTGCAAACATCTTTTGGCGCGACTAAATATACCAAAAACTTATTTACAAAGACGTTTGTGGTAAAACAGTAAGGTAAAATTAATCGTACACAAAATTACACAGAGCGGCGCATCGCATTCTCGAAAACTTGAAGATTTTGATTTTTGTTTATGTTTTTGGAACGAGTAATTCATGGCTTAAATAACTTTTTAACCGTATACACATATTGATGATGTGACTTTTAAAGTACGACTGTATTTATTACACGATTTAAAACTTGACGTATTTATAAATTGCATTTACAAAGAGAATATAATACATTGCAAATTGGCAATATTGATAATCGATTAATTTGATGTGCCAAATTTAGACTCGTATCAATTGATAATAATAATTGTTGTCCATCACTGTGCTCGGATGCAATATTCGTCAGATTTAGACAATTCTCCAAGGTGCCGTCCATAACCTAGAGTCGAGTCGCGATGTGGGGTTACACAATATTGGGCAATTTTTTCTTTTTATTCTCATAACCCGTACTATCGTTTTATGGGTTTTTTTTTTTTTTTTGAAAACAATATAACATCTCAATCGAAAATCATAATTCATCGTTTACCGATGAACCAGACACGAGACGTTTGCGGTGATAGTGTGTGTGTTTGTGAGAGAGAGAGAGAAAGAAATTTGTAGTACTATAACGCGTTAGTATTTGACTAGCGAATTTAGCCGGATAGAAATATGCGCACAATGATGGAACACACCGACAAGCGCTCAACAAGTGCCGCGGAGCGCGCGTGAGTGAGTAGGTGTTAGTTCCGGACTTATAAGAGACTGCATTCGGATATCCCGGCGTCTTTTATTACCTCGCTCTTCCACGGATTCGGTTCAGCACAAATCTCCGGCGGTCATCCTCATCACCGAAACACACAGGTAAGTGAAAATACTTTTACATTATATTATATTGTTGTATACAATACAAAACAACTTTATTTATCACTATGTACCATTACACATTTTAAACGGACCGGTCGCTACTCAAAAATTTTTTTTTTTACATAAAAACGTTTTTGTTATTGTTATATTAAATATTAATACGACTTACAAATATCTGAATTCGCGTTAATTATAAAAATATGTTAAACGCAAAATCTAACAAATTTTCTTTCTCGAAAAAAAAAAGTGACCAGGCATTTATATAAGGATTTTTTTACTCGTGTTGTTTTCAAAACAAAAATGCCACTCGGCGGGCTTTCGTAAAACTTTTTAAACTAAGTGTTAAATTTAAAAAAAAAATTAGCCAATTTATTTAATTTACTTAGCGCATATTAAATATTTTACACGAAAAAAAAAATTGTATAATTTGGTCAACTAAATAAATAGTTGCTTTAAACATTAAGTTGGCCGAACTAACGGTGTATAGTTGCTTTGCCCAAACATTTATTGTGTCCATATGGTTTTAATTGATCGTGTGCCATCATTTCAGTTGATCTAACTGCTGATAGGTTCGAAAATTAATTGCGGTCGGTAAAATTATGGGCTCTAAACTATGCTCAAATACACAAATAGCCGAAATGGCGACAACGGCCATTAGAAGTATGAAATAATTGTGTATCGACCAAAATATAGTGTTTTACTGTACACTAATAAACGGCGGCAAGATAAGTCTATAAACGGCGATAATGTCTAGAACGGCGAAATTACTGGTTACATAGCGCACAATTTATTTTCATTTAAGCAAACAAATAAAGACAACGTTAAAACCTCCTCCGGTCGGTCAGGCGGTGCGTTTGAAATTATAATCATGTCCGCCCCGTAGGATTGTCGATGAACTTTAGAATAACATTATCCATCGACAGAAACAATATTGTTTTATGTACACACATACACCCATTTGTCTGGTGGTTCGATAAAAACAATGCCATCAGAGCCGTTTCTCGCGTGTTCCGTTATGTTGTACCGTATCATTATAATAATATAAAATATTGTAATATATGTATATATATTATTACAACGTAAAAAGTTACTCTCCCCGACGTCAAAGTCCAATTTTTTTATTTGCCAAAAATAAAAAAAAAATGTAAAAGTACCTGACCATGATTAATATATAATATATTTTTATGCCAAATCATTTATCACACACGCTAAAGACCGTGTGCCGTATCTCGCACTATATCAAACGGCAGAAGATATTATTAAAAAAAAAAAAAATGAATGTGTATATAGTTTGTTTTTAATTTAAGTGTTTCGAATTGGGTTTTACGAGGACAACTGTGTATAGGATGATGTAGGTATATTCTCAATGGTAGTTAAAACGCAAAAATAATTGCTTTTTTTTTTTTTCTTTACCGACTAAAATGTTTTGTAATAACCAAGTTGAAATGAAATTCAAGCTAAAATTATAAACAAATTACGCATTTTAATACGTGCGAGATTTACATAATAATAATAATAAACAACAACAACGTGGTAATAGTAATTGATCTAAAGTACGTTGGCTCTGTTTGGCCGACAAACTTTATATAATATATATTTTATCAACACCCTTCTTAAGATTAAAGTAAAAGTAAATTAAATTACTATCTATATAAATTGTCAATTTTCATTGTATTATTATTATTATTATTTTCTTCATTATTTCCAAATTAATTTAAGGGAAAATTAAATTTACTCGTATATATTTTTACATATTATAATACTTAGTCTGCAATATCGTTGAAATAACTTTGAGATTTAAAAATAATAATAATAATAATCGATTTGTAGCCGAATTACCTGACAAACGATGCGGTATAATAAAAAAAATGCTACTTTGAATTTTATCTTAGAAAAAATCGAAATAATTATATACCTATGTTAATGTTTGATAGCATTCAGGTCGGTTATTTTTACTACTACTACTCGATGCAACAATAATATTATTATGTCGCAGTGAAAATTATAAACTCGGTTGGAATAAAACCCGCATACGACAGGTGGCCGCTTATTAGCAAGCGGTTGTAAACCCTAATAGGTAAAAAACATAACCGTTTCATATCATTTTTTTTTTTTTTTTGTAAGTCTGTTAGGCAAGGTACTGTAGATCTAATCGATCGGAACAATATAATATAACGGTTGCGCTCGACAATCGAACCGACTCATCTCGAAAATGGTATTTCTATAGGAAACAAAAATTAAAAATTCTCAATCTGTTATGAAGCGACCTTACAGTGAGTGTGTGCCGCGTGTGCGTGCGGGATTTCGAATGATAACACGTCATTGACTTTCTCCGGGGCCGTTACGTCATTAAACATAATTTCTTATTGGAGTTAGTTAAGTGCTTGTGTAAATTTGAACGATTTACGTCACCCTTTTGGGCGGCTGTACAACTGTACAGTTATACAGCGGGCAACCACGTGCACGGTTAAACGCGCATCAACCGATTATTTTATTTTAATAATTAATATTATTTATATATAATACGAGCACGCTGTATACCATTGTCACCTCCGTATTGGCTTGGCATTAATCGACTGGTCATATCCGACGTGACACTGTCTGGAGATTTCAATGGGCTCAAGACGGCGGTTGGCCTAGTTTCGCGTGTGTGTTTATGAAACGGCATTAGTCAAGGGCGTCCGCAGGAAATATTTCTAGGAAAATAACTGGTGGAAAGACGAAGGACAATGATTTGTTTATTATTCAAAGAATTTCTGAGCGAACATGTTTGAATGGATGACCTTTACCTTTATGTATTATACGTACTGTGTAGCTGACAACACTTGACGCACGTCCAAAATTCGTTTTCCCAATCATATTATCATCATCATCATCATCATCATCGTGTAGTGGCAAAAATATACCTAATCGAACGGAAGCTTTAGTAACCATTTATTTTATGCCATAAGTACGTAGATTGTAGAACGGAACGTTTAGCTTTTACTTTCTCGGTCCACTTTTTTGCCCCCAAACTGATATTGCAATACAGTACCTACTTTGTTCTGTCATAGTATGCTGTGTGACTAGAGTTGGAAAAAAACCGTGTTTTAGGGAATTTAAAAATCTAAAATTTTAACCGAAAAATCAGCACTTTGACTTGGGATTATCAGTTGACGTTGATTTAAATACGGATGTACCTAAACCTTATCGCACATACATTCGGTATAATTTTCAATTTTTTAAAGTCATAATATTGTGTATAGAAAATTAAACGTTCTTTGCGAGTATCGCGGAGTGTTTAAACGATTTTTTATTTAACCTGTACTTTGTTGAATGTTCACAAAGTTTGAGCCAATCTAACTCTTTTTCAAACAGGGTTGACGAAATTAAAGTAAGGTTTTTTTTTTTTAAATTTTGGCCTCAGTATTAGTATACGTACTTCTATAAGATTGTTTGTACATGTAATGTGAATAATTTAGATTAGATTAAAAAGTTTTAACGAGTTTAGGCAACAAAAAAAAAAAATTAAAATACATTATTACAAAACCAATACCTACTAGTCTCCGCAATGAAGCTGAAAAAAATCTCTTTAAATCCTTTTTAATTTAAATATGTATGTAAAATTATAATTTATTATAGTCGGCTTTATTTATATTTGTTTGAATTTAAAAGTAGTATTCATATTTTTGAAATGATTAAAAACCGAAGGTCGATTAAAATACGATTTTAGTATAAAAAAATAATATTTTATTTCCAACAAAATTTATGTTGCATAGTACATTGCTAAGCCGCAATTACTCTTTCTCATACTATATCTTTTTTGGACGTAGTGAAATAATTTAATTGGAAAGCATTCGTCTATGCGCGATTAAAACACACGTTGCTTCATTTATTTTATTCGTTCATGAATTTATTTAAATTGGTATTTTTATACGTTATGCACAGCTTCGTGTAGAAAAAAAAAAACATTGACGTTTTTGCTTGTTGAATTTTTCTATAAAAAAAAAATACAAACCATCACCCCAAGGAATTTAATAACAAATCGAATTGATATTCCCCGTGGCAGGAAAAAAACAAATCGAGCGCCGGTGACGTTTTTCGATGGTTAAAGTTTACAATTGTTCTCAAAACACATACACCGTATTCGCACATGCATACAGATATATATATATATATATATATATAAACATATGTGAATCTATAATCTAGCACGTGTGTGTATGTGTGTGGGTTTAGGACAGAGTCGATATATTTTCTATAATATTATTAAATCGGTATTGATATTTGAAAGTTGTTCATCTAATATTTTTTAAGCACCAAACGTCTCTCTATACGTGTACTGCGCGTGCAATCGTTATTACATTTATAACTATACGCTAACGCTATTAGTAAGCATACACGCGAGTATTGTACATGCTTGTTTTTTAAGAAAGTCTCATCAGTTCATCGCAACAGTAAGCTTATATACAAGTTTATAATATGATTAAGTACGTTTGTCGTCAATGGATACTTATATTTTTTTGTTAACCGACGTTTTGTAGTTTTTGCAATATGTATTTAATTCATTTATTGACGAAAAAGCATACAAGAAAACTTGCATCCCAATTAAACGCGTTTCGTTTTAGTTGAAATTATTTATTTATGGCCGACACGCGTGTATAGTGTTATACTTCTCATCTAACCCCTATTGTTTTACCATACAAAGTTCTTCAAAGTTATTAATTATACATTTATTAATATTAACTTTAAAACACACACTCACGCACACTCAAGCGAAAGCTCAAATATATATATATATATATATATATATATATTGATATCAAAGAGGTAATTTGTACCGGGGAAAGTAATATACCTAAGTCACTTGAGTAAAATCAAACGGATAAAAAATGTATTAGTATAAATACACCCAAACTTTGGCGTTTTCTTGTAAGATAGTATTACCTAACGAAATAAGTTGTTTTCAAACTGTATACCATCTTCAAACATGAATACGTTGTTGATTGCTTTAAAGA